CCCCCCCAGCTTATTGGTGAGGATGGAGCTGGAGGAGTGATTTGTACTAAATATTAAACACCCCCCCCCCCAATAAATAAAAATAAATGAGTAGTGTTATGCTTATTTAATATAGGATGGTAAATGAAGGACAGCGTTCAAGCGTTGTGCTGTCTGCTAAAGGGGAAGGCTCTTAGCTGAAACATCTTTCATTGTCCTGTCTTTATACTTCAAGCTTCCACATACCTTGTTTTAGTATTTCCTCTTTTAATTGGACGACAAACTCTTATATATAGTAATATAATGAGTAAATTTACCTGTGCTTCACTCAGCAGCGAACCTAGGGTGGGTGGAAGGGGCGAACGTCCCAGGAGCCACTTTTAATGTTTATAAATAAATTAATATAATAAAATGATTACTGTGTGTTGTGAGGCGTACCAAGTCGAGATACGCCACTGGTTGCAGTCATTGTTATGGGAGGGGAGCCTTGATTAATATATATATATACAGGGTGGGCCAATAAAAGTGAGAACATATCGTAGCGAAATATTTTACGAGATGTTCTCATTTTATTGGCCCACCCTGTATATATATATAATATTTATGTATTTTTAAAAAAAATGTATTTTTTCTTTTTTTTTTTTTTTGTTGAAGTTAAGATTTTAAAAATCGTTACTTCTGTCGACAGGTAAAATACAATTGGTTTAATTATCAATAATAATCTACAATAAAGGGGAGCATTCCGACCTTGCCAACTATCTTCCGATATCCCTCAACAGCGTGGTATGCAAACTGTTGGAGCCCATACTCGTAAGCACAGTCATGAAGCATCTTGAAAGCCAAAATATACTCAATGACTGTCAGCATGGCTTCCGAGTCAATAGAGTCATGTGAGACCCACCTCCTTGAATTTGCAGAAGACTTGGTGACCGATCTGGAGAACCACAAGCAAACTGACATGCTGGTGATGGACTTCTCAAAGGCATTTGACCGTGTCAATCATAGTTTGCTTCTACACAAACTGCAGAGCTATTGGATTCAAGGTACTACTAAAACATGGATCACTAGCTTGCTCAGCAACCGATGCCAAGCAGTAGTGGTGGACGGTACAAGCTCCTCCTTTTGCCCTTGCAACCCGTGAAATATCCTCATCATCACCAGGCACAGAAATATTGCAAATCCCCTCTACATGCATAGGAGCCAGAATGATCAATAAATTGATCGTGGGCTCTTAATATAATAGAAGAAGAAGAAGAGACAAACACCGACGAAAAGCCAAAGCCAAAATCATCTCGTTAAATATTACGCTACATGATGATCTCACTTTTATTGGCCCACCCTGTAGACTATACAAAATCAATTGCAAATACATTTTAAATCATTTTAAAAATAATCTCGCTATCAATGTATATGCTTGTAAGAGTAATATATTATATAATTTATAATTATAATGCATTTTTTAAATTAATAAAGTAATAGACTTAATAGATAGTCTAGTAATAAAGACAAATATCATTTTGACTGCCCTCTTAACAATCCACAAACGGGTTTGACAATAATAATATTGCTAATTTAAAGAGAATTTAAATAAGTTCAACTTTGAACAAGTGGTTTAACTTTTAGAAGTCTAAACTACAGTTCTGTAACTGTATCATAATTAATAACGCGAAGGTGATCTTTCTTTTCTTTACTCTACACAGCCGAGACATACAACTATCATATATTTAAGTGCAAAAATTATATATATATATATATATATATATATATATATATATATATATATATATTACATATAAAAAAAAAAAAAAAAAAAAGAGTTGTTGCCAGGCAAGCAAATTTTGTTGTACAGCCTTGACCGTGACCTTCGTTAAGTGAGTTAAACTAACGAAAACTTTGGGGAATTATTTGCAAATTTTATTATTCCATGGTTTATGCAATTAAATATTATTTTCTTATTTAATTTAATCAGAAAGAATTTTCTGAAAATATTATATTTCATTTACTAGAAATATTGGATTGAAACAATGTGTTCCAAGAAATGAGTAAGTCTAGTTAGTTTCTATTTAGTTTCGTTTCTCGAATAAAAGGAGTTTCGGAAACACAGTTTTTAAAGCAACTTCCTAAACAAAACGAGAGCAACCACCAAGACCAAGTTGGTTTTGTTAGCGAAGCATAAGACAAGGCTCAACAATGAATAATATAAGGATGCCAAAAGAAGGCGAACCAAGTCACTCTAAAGCAACAATAATGGGAAGTAATGGTGTTGTTCAGGCATTATTAACGGGTAGGTAATTTTGTTTAATTTTATTAATCTTATAGACCTAATTACCTACTCACTTCTACTTCTAACTTAAACTTACTTCTAATTCTAAGTTTGGGTTGCCGGTTGAAAACGAAAATTTTAACTAATGTTACATTACTTCATGATTACTTCATTAAATTACTCATTACTGACTTTAGTCTAGCCCTCGCTAGGGAGCCTATGGCTGCCTAATCTTTAACTTTATGATTAACGTTATAATTTAGACAAATAAATGAAGGACTGTAAGTAGATACTTTGGTCAAAAATGTAAACATTTTTTTAAAAATAAACCAATGGCACAGTTGAATAGAGCTAATTTTAAACAGAATTATAACACCAAAATCATATTTTTAGCTGTTGTAGTTTTAAAGTTATGAATTTTTAAAGTACGACTTGGTTTGTCCTTTTTTAACATGGACTGCATCTCCACATTCTGTGACCTCATTCCGCCGATCGCGTCATGCGCAATGACTATATAGTTTATATAAGGCTAAGGCATTCCCTTATCACTAAAATACTGTTTAGGGTCGATTTATTTTAAACTTTCAACTTTGGCACATGAATAATTAATTAAAGCTTTCCCTGACCAATGGTTTAATAGTTTTTGCACACGGCAAACACTTATGAATGAAACTCTGAGATAGTACTACGATATAGCCGTTATGCAAGTGGCTGTGAATGGTTGCCAATGACAACGTGTTGCACACGGAAATTTCTGATCATTTATAATATGGACTCTACAGGGTTTTTAAAGCTCAAATTAAAACATTCCAGTTTAAATGTCTTCAAAATGCATTCTGAAACACAAGTTATCAAATATTTTGATGTATATAGTGGTAATAATTAAATATTTCTTAAGTATCGGCAACTTCCGCCATTAAAAAGGGGGCGTGGCCCACGCCATGTCGAAATAAGGCGGAGCCCCCTTATGGTGATATGGGTCACTGGGAGAAGCGTAGCGAACGTGGGACACGACCTACATCAATGAGAATTGGCACAGATATAGATCAATATCTAATGCCTTACACGATTTAATATGAAAGACATGTTCCTTTTATTTCACAAAAAATTTTGTATTCGAAGATGCCTTATATATACCAAAGATTTTCAAAATGAAGTTCGATTGAAAAAAGCAAAATAGTTGGATGGAAATGTAGGCCAAGATGTCTTCCAAATTATAAGGCCGGAAACGGAACTCAAATATATGTCCAAAGAACTAATTTAATAATAAATAGACACACACATCGGAAAATTAAAAACTCGGATTTTTCGGCGCCGACGCCCATTTCCGATACAAAAAAAGTAGTAGTCTCCCTTGTTTTATCGAAGTATGTACTGTAAGTGTAGATACTTTGGTCAAAAATTTAAACATTTTGTAAAAATAAACCAATGGCATAGTTGAATAGAGCTAACTTTTTACGGAATTATTACACCAAAATTATATTTTTAGCTGTTGTAGTTTTAAAGTTATGAATTTTTAAAGTACGACTTGGTTTGTCCTTTTTTAACATGGACTGCATCTCCACATTCTGTGACCTCATTCCGCCGATCACGTCATGCGCAATGACTATATAGTTTATATAAGGCTAAGGCATTCCCTTATCACTAAAATACTGTTTAGGGTCGATTTATTTTAAACTTTCAACTTTGGCACATGAATAATTAATTAAAGCTTTCATTGACCAATGGTTTAATAGTTTTTGCACACGGCAAACACTTATGAATGAAACTCTGAGATAGTACTACGATATAGCCGTTATGCAAGTGGCTGTGAATGGTTGCCAATGACAACGTGTTGCACACGGAAATTTCTGATCATTTATAATATGGACTCTACAGGGTTTTTAAAGCTCAAATTAAAACATTCCAGTTTAAATGTCTTGAAAATGCATTCTGAAACACAAGTTATCAAATATTTTGATGTATATAGTGGTAATAATTAAATATTTCTTAAGTATCGGCAACTTCCGCCATTAAAAAGGGGGCGTGGCCCACGCCATGTCGAAATAAGGCTGAGCCCCCTTATGGTGATATGGGTCACTGGGAGAAGCGTAGCGAACGTGGGACACGACCTACATCAATGAGAATTGGCACAGATATATATCAATATCTGATGCCTTACACGATTTAATATGAAAGACCTGTTCCTTTTATTTCACAAAAAATTTTGTATTTGAAGATGCCTTATATATACCAAAGATTTTCAAAATGAAGTTCGATTGAAAAAAGCAAAATAGTTGGATGGAAATGTAGGCCAAGATGTCTTCCAAATTATAAGGCCGGAAACGGAACTCAAATATATGTCCAAAGAACTAATTTAATAATAAATAGACACACACATCGGAAAATTAAAAACTCGGATTTTTCGGCGCCGACGCCCATTTCCGATACAAAAAAAGTAGTAGTCTCCCTTGTTTTATCGAAGTATCTACTGTAAGTGTGTTTAAAGCTGTGACTGTGTGAAGGGAAGGAAATAGTCGAACAAGGTTTGTGGAAGCATGAATTGAAAATGAAAGACAGGATAGTAAAAGAAGAACGTTTTGGCTAAGAGCCTTCCTCAGCAGACAAGGACAAATCAAATGTGTTGTTCTACTATTTCCTATAATTTAGGCCTATACTGTAAATTAAGATAAGATAGGATTCTTTATTGATCCAAATAAAAAATTGAAATGTTTTTTTGATTACATTGTCAATGTTACTAACTGTCATTTTACATAATAATTTTCAGCACCTAAATTATGATAAACAAATACATATTTTAAAATAGACACAATTTTACAATTATAACAATTTAAATACAAGACATCTAAAGTATTTCTCTAGTGTAAAAATGAGCCATCAATGAACTCGTTTAGTGACAACAATGAATTAGTTAAAGATTATTTAGCTTTAACAACAGCCGCACCACTGGGGGAGCATGCTGAGAAATTCATACAGCCTGAGGAACAAAAGAAATGTTATATCTTTCAGTCTTAACTTGAAGAGAAAGAATTCACCTTGATCGAGCTGATCCTAGGATCTGTGATGAAGAGGGTGTGATATATCATCAAAATTTTATAGCAGCATTTTTTCAAATAGTTCTTCAAGTAAAGGATGTTAAGTTTGTGAGATATCACAAGCTTTATTGATTATTCTATTTAATCAGTGTTTTATGTCAGACAATGAATGCCATCAAGTAATACACAAGTTTAGTAAGTTTCCAATTGCTGCACAAGTTAATAACTTGTTTTTTTAACACTGAAATTGTACAATTTTTTAAGATAGAAAAATATAATAATTTATTTAAATTTAATAATTGGCTTCCTTCACTTTTCCACTTAATAAAAAAATTTTTTGTCACTAATGTCACTTACATCATAGTAAGTTTCGCCTACACTAACAGTAGCACAGGGAAGTGCTTAACTGTTAGTTTTTTTAGGCTTAAGTTAAATGGAGCCACCACTTTTTTTAGGGTTTAGTTTAAGGAGCTGAGTGTATTGTAGATCTGTTTAACTGTTTAATCTCAACTATATTTTATTTCTGCTGCTTTGGATTCTGATTCATATTCGCACCTTTGTTTTGAATCTAGTAATAGTCTGACTGAACTATCTAAAAATATTCTTAATTGGCTTGAAAAAGTCCAATATCATTTGTAAAGTGTCGCTTAAAAATGTATTTCTAGGTCAACAAAATTATTTCAGGTTAGAATGTTGTTTCAACCAGGTTTTTTTTTTATAATGGGACACATCAAACAAGTCTATTTAAACAATTATGTACCAAAACATGTCTATTTATTGTCCAGAGTTGCCAAAAGACAAATAAAATAGTTTTTGATAAGTAATTAATGAAAATAAAATAGTTTTTGAAAAGTAATTTGTTAAAATTAAATTAAAAAAAGCACTAAGTTCATTAGAGATTAAAATGTTATTAGGTGTATCTACTTTCTAAGGTCCAAAAAAACAATAACAATTTCAAATGTTAACTAGTGTGGTTAGGCCATAGCAATTCCAAAATTTACATTTTATTTTTCCCTATTTCTCAAGATTTTTCAAAAGAGCAAAGAGGTTTATATCTATTCAATTTTTGCCTCAGAAATACAGGGAGGTCTGTGTTCAGGTGGAATCAATAAGTGATATACACAAGTTAGAAGAAAAGCCGAAGAAAGACAAATAAAAAATAGTGGACGTTTGGCCAAGAAGCTTTGACAGCAAAGATACTAAGACAGACAAACTTAGCTTATATAGATATGTAGAAAGGAAATGGTAGACATATTCAATTTGCGTATGAGATCAACATGAAAGGTTAGAAATTAATAAATAAAATAAGACTGTGTAGGTAACGTTTGCAAGGATGGTGGACATGAGACAAATATCATGTAAGGAAGACAGAAGACTAATGGGCTCTTGCTTTAACTATCTGTGTAAGGGTCAACTTGAGCTATTCATAAACTTAATTGGCTCTTTCCCTCTTCCATTATTTACATCCCTTTTAACTAAGAATTCCAAACATTTCTTGGATATAACTGCAACTTTAAAAGCAGAGGATTTATCCAGCTCTGCCTATTGCAGACCTACTTACAGCCACAGCTACTTAACTATACTCTTCTTCCGGGGGGACCGCACGGTCCCAAGCTTGTGGACTGGAGTTCAATCCCAAGAAAAAGCCTAGACAAGCAGAAACAACACCAGCACCCTGGTGGACGGAACTTGTTAACCTTGGATGGTAACTCATCTAAGAGAAGGCAAGCTCTGAAATCAAACACGGAGATGGGGTCCCATAGGCAATGTGACGCAATGAAAAGTCTGACAACTCCTGCAACATGTAGTGCATAAAGAGCACAGTGAGACACAAGAAACACTGCTGGTCATCTACTGCATCCTGGTCTATTTCCAGTTATCTTGACCATTGGATCAAATAGGCCAGGACAAGAGGGAGCCTGATGACTTGAACAGCTTAAGTCAAAGCTAGATGACTTGAACAGCTCAAGTCAAGGTTACAATTCAAGTTTAAGCCTTGGTCATCTTCACATCCCCATTTATGAACCATACTATATTCTTTTTCTCACGCTAATTCATGTAGAGATCCTGTCCCCTTTTCACAACTTCTGCTTCATATTTTTCCTCAACACTGTGTATATTAATTATTGTTTCAGAAATTGTCCTCTTTATATGTTAAAAAAATCCCCATTTTTTAAAATGTGTTTCTGGCTCCTTTTTAAACACCTAAATGTAGAAGCTATTGCATGCTGGTTTTTAAACACCTAAATGTAGAAGCTATTGCATGCTGTGTTTTAAACACCTAAATGTAGAAGCTATTGCATGCTGGTTTTTAAACACCTAAATGTAGAAGCTATTGCATGCTGGTTTTTAAACACCTAAATGTAGAAGCTATTGCATGCTGGTTTTTAAACACCTAAATGTAGAAGCTATTGCATGCTGGTTTTTAAACACCTAAATGTAGAAGCTATTGCATGCTGGTTTTTAAACACCTAAATGTAGAAGCTATTGCATGCTGGTTTTTAAACACCTAAATGTAGAAGCTATTGCATGCTGTTTTTTAAACACCTAAATGTAGAAGCTATTGCATGCTGTTTTTTAAACACCTAAATGTAGAAGCTATTGCATGCTGTTTTTTAAACACCTAAATGTAGAAGCTATTGCATGCTGTTTTTTAAACACCTAAATGTAGAAGCTATTGCATGCTGTGTTTTTTTTTCTTTTGGTCAGGCATGTACTTTTTAACTCTGTGATGTTGACAGGTGTGATATTCTCTGCTGCAATATGAAATGTGCAACCATAAATAAATAGGAGACATTGACATTTCTTTTAAGTATTGAAAGGGAGGTCAGAAAAAGGAGGCCTGCAACACTTTCCTATGCCACTTATACTATAAATGTACAACACTGAAATAAAATACATCTTCAAAACAAATTCCTTTATAAACGAAGAGTTCAAATATGATGCAGTTTGTCTTTTTGATTAGGTCTTGCTATCAGTAGAACGACTGTTGCATCTTCAGTTGACTTTTATGTCCTTCATTGACCTCTGTCAGAGTTCACAGACTCCTACCATTTCTTCTAATCTTTTAATCATTAAGTTATGCTGCTTTGTCTGCCAGACTTTAACTTAATAAGAAGGTCACCCATGTTTTCTGTCAGACTTAACTTAATAAGTAGGTCACATAATATGTTGTCTGAGCTGTCTTGTGGCTTTTAAATATCTCTTGGCTTATTTACTATACCACAATGTGGTAGCTCTGTACCTTTTTTTTTCCTTTCTATTTTTCTCTCTCTCACCTTTGCTCTGTGTTTTTGTTTGATATTTTTTACCAACTTTTTGTCAAAGGTTAAATGGGCAATTTATATGCCCTTTTTTTTTTTTTTTTTTTTTTTTTTTTTTTTTTTTTTTTTTTTTATTTATTTTTTTTTTAACGCCAAGCTATTTCTTCCACATATATTGTGTGCCTTTACTACTAGTATAAAATAATTGCCCCCATTTATTTTCTTGCTTTATAACTGACTTTTTTGGAATTATGTCATGTGATTAATTCGGTTGGTTGGCTTACGAGATTTTTTTTATAACTTTATACTGGAGGTACATTAAATAATGACATAGTTATTGTGGATTTCTGAGGTCCTAGTCTACTGCTCACTCTGCAAGATTCAAATACTTGACCATCAGGATAGAAACAAAGATACCTGAAGTTGATTGTGCCACAGTTCAGTCATTTTTAGCACCAGAATAATCTCCCTCTAATACATTTGGCTACTGTATGGCTAACACTGGCATTATTGGGTTGGCTTGTGAGTGGTCCTGTGAATGGGCTTGTGAGTGGTCCTGTGAGTGGGATTGTGAGTGTTCCTGAGAGCGGGATTGTGAGTGGGCTTGTGAGTGGGCATGTGAATGGGCTTGTGAGTGGTCCTGTGAATGGGCTTGTGAGTTGTCCTGAGAGTCGGATTGTGAGTGGTCCTGTGAATGGGCTTGTGAGTGGTCCTGTGAGTGGGATTGTGAGTGTTCCTGAGAGTGGGATTGTGAGTGGGCTTGTGAGTGGGCTTGTGAGCGGTCCTGTGAGTGGGCTTGTGAGTGTTCCTGTGAGTGGGCTTGTGAGTGGTCCTGTGAGTGGGCTTGTGATCGGTCCTGAGAGTGGGCTTGTGAGCGGTCCTGTGAGTGGGTTTGTGAGCGGTCTTGTGAGTGGGCTTGTGATTGGTCTGGTGAGTGGGTTTGTTAGCTGGAAATATTCTTCTCAGGCTTTTTTCCGCCCAACTTTGGGGGGTGGGGGGATCAGCTTATAAATGAACAGGCTTTAGAGTGAGTATTTTAGGTAAATGAAGCTGAAAGTTGGTGTTCAAAAACAAGTTTCTTGCGTACTTGTTAAACTCCAGGTCCTGGTTTAATTAAGGTGTCCAAACTATCGAGTTTCAAGTAACAAGGTATCAAGTGAAAAGGATGAGAGAGCAATTATAATTTTAACCCGTGCAATGTTGCTGGGGGAGGGCACAGTGGTTTGGAAACTAATTATGTGGCCACCTGTTTTCTGTAAATAAGAAATTAAGGCACAGCTTACATCAATGGACTTGTAATTGACCTATCGATTCTGAGCTCAATTCATGTTATGCCAAGGGCAAGGTTTGATATGTAGAAGTTGTTGGCTCCAAACAGAGAATGATTTGGAACATGAATTGCATTTCAAATTTTTTTTTTTTGGAAAGGAGTTGGGGTGGTGAGAGCTTTTAAGTGGCATAAGCTGGTTAGCAGTGAATGCCGTAAGCTGGTTAGCAGTGAATGCCATAAGCTGGTTAGCAGTGAATGCCGTAAGCTGGTTAGCAGTGAATGCCGTAAGCTGGTTAGCAGTGAATGCCATAAGCTGGTTAGCAGTGAATGCCGTAAGCTGGTTAGCAGTGAATGCCGGTAGCTGGTTAGCAGTGAATGCCGTAAGCTGGTTAGCAGTGAATGCCGTAAGCTGGTTAGCAGTGAATGCCGTAAGCTGGTTAGCAGTGAATGCCGTAAGCTGGTTAGCAGTGAATGCCGTAAGCTGGTTAGCAGTGAATGCCGTAAGCTGGTTAGCAGTGAATGCCGTAAGCTGGTTAGCAGTGAATGCCGTAAGCTGGTTAGCAGTGAATGCTTCCTTTTGCTAGAGACAAAGTATCATTGGTCGTTATCTGTAACAGTAGTTCACCCGTGAACCAAATGTAGATATTTTTATTTCACCAAATAAACTACTTAAAAAATCATTAGATATTGATATAGTAAATGCAAACAAGTTTCCCATCTGCATGTTGACCAAAAAACTGGGGCAGAATTAGGTTGTGGGTAGAGGGAGGGAACTAGGGTAGAATTAGGTAGTGGGTAGAGGGGAGAACAAGGGAAGAATGAGGTAGTGGGTAAAGGGGGAGAACTAGGGAAGAATTAGTTAGTGGGTAAAAGGGGAAGAACTGGGGAAGATTGAGGTGGTGGGTAAAGGGGGAGAACTAGGGAAGATTGAGGTAGTGTGTAAAGGGGGAGAACTAGGGAAGATTGAGGTAGTGGGTAAAGGGGGAGAACTAGGGAAGATTCAGGTAGTGGGTAAAGGGGGAGAACTAGGGAAGAATTAGGTAGTGGGTAAAGGGGGAGAACTAGGGAAGAGAGAGGTAGTGGGTAAAGGGGGAGAACTAGGGAAGAATTAGGTAGTGGGTAGAGGGGGAGAACTAGGGAAGAGAGAGGTAGTGGGTAGAGGGGGAGAACTGGGGCAGAATTAGGTAGTGGGTAGAGGGGGACAAGTGGGGCAGAATTAGGTAGTGGGTAGAAGGGGAGAACTGGGGCAGAATTAGGTAGTGGGTAGAAGGGGAGAACTGGGGCAGAATTAGGTAGAGGGTAGAGGGGGAGAACTAGGGAAGAATGAGTTAGAGGGTAGAGGGGGACAACTAGGGAAGAGGGAGATGTGGGGAAGAATTAGGTAGTGGGTAGAAGGGGAGAACTGGGGCAGAATTAGGTAGTGGGTAGAAGGGGAGAACTGGGGCAGAATTAGGTAGTGGGTAAAGGGGGAGAACTAGGGAAGAATGAGTTAGTGGGTAAAGGGGGACAACTAGGGAAGAATTAGGTAGTGGGGAGAGCTAGGGCAGAATTGGGTAGAGGGGGAGAACTAGGGCAGAATTAGGTAGTGGGTAGAGGGGGAGAACTGGGTCAGAATTAGGTAGTGGGTAGAAGGGGAGAACTGGGTCAGAATAAGTTAGTGGGTAGAAGGGGAGAACTGGGTCAGAATTAGGTAGTGGGTAGAAGGGGAGAACTGGGACAGAATTAGGTAGTGGGTAGATAATTTAACCGCCCACACAACAGCTATCATAAAATAAAACAAAATTAAATGGATTATTCAAAGGAAAAATCTGTTACAACCATTCTTCCCATCTCAGTAGGTAGTTTTTAGACCAGAGTTGTCATCTGTACAGGTAGTTTTTAGACCAGAGTTGTCATCTGTACAGGTAGTTTTTAGACCAGAGTTGTCATCTGTACAGGTAGTTTTTAGATCAGAGTTGTCATCTGTACAGGTAGTTTTTAGATCAGAGTTGTCATCTGTACAGGTAGTTTTTAGATCAGAGTTGTCATCTGTACAGGTAGTTTTTAGACCAGAGTTGTCATCTGTACAGGTAGTTTTTAGACCAGAGTTGTCATCTGTACAGGTAGTTTTTAGATCAGAGTTGTCATCTGTACAGGTAGTTTTTAGATCAGAGTTGTCATCTGTACAGGTAGTTTTTTAGATCAGAGTTGTCATCTGTACAGGTAGTTTTTAGATCAGAGTTGTCATCTGTACAGGTAGTTTTTTAGATCAGAGTTGTCATCTGTACAGGTAGTTTTTAGGTCAGGGGTGATCACCTCTACAGGTAGTTTTTAATTCAGAGTTAACATCTGTACAGGTAGTTTTTATTTAGAGATCAGGGGTCAGCATCTCTACAGGTAGTTTTTAGATCAGAGGTCATAATCTCTGCAGGTTGTTTTCCGATCAGAGTTGCCATCTGTTCAGGTAGTTTTTAGATCAGGGGTCATCATCTCGACAGTAAGTTTTTAGATCAGGGGTTTGCAAACTTTAAACAGCCTTTAACACCCCGCCGCCGATGTTACCCCTGATTTGAAAGGAGGAAGAAAATAGTAGAATATTTAAATTCAAAATTAATTATTGAATATATTTGTATAAATAAAATGCAATTATTAATAGAAAAGTAGAAAATAAATTGAAATTAAATTATTTTTTAATAAAATCCTCAAATTTTGATGGAAATGATTTTTCATGTTTATACAATGGCATTAAAATTGGGAGATTTTCAATCCGATAAGTTTGGATACTGTCTTTGGGGTTAAATAATTGAATTTTTGCAAAAGTTGGTCGTTGCAAAGTTAGCAACATTTTGACCGAATCCTTATGAGCAATTTTGGAAACCTTTGCATTTCTTGATGTTTTGGGTGTAAACAGTAGTGTCACTAGGAGCAGGGGTGCACTCTCACTCAGCACATACATACATGGGACAGACACGCACACAAGGGGATGATGCTCTCACAGGGGGATAACACCATTTGACAGAGCTCGATCAAGTTGGTTTCATAACACATTTAAAGTTCATACAAGAACAGGGTGCCACCGTTCACCAGAGCAAAGTGGCACCTGTCACCAGAGTAGGGTGCCAGCTGTCACCAGAGTAGGGTGCCACCTGTCACCAGAGCAGGGTGCCACCTTTCACCAGAGCAGGGTGCCAACTGTCACCAGAGCAGGGTGGCACCTGTCACCAGAGTTAGGGTGCCAGCTGTCATCAGAGTAGGGTGGCACCTGTCACCAGACTATGGGGCCAGCTGTCACCAGAATAGCGTGGCACCTGTCACCAAAGTAGGGTCCCACCAGAGCATACTGTCTCGGAGGAGGTCCGTGGGGCAGTTTGGTTGGGTAACACCATGATTTTACCCATTGGGTGGATCAAAATCTAGTGACGCCACTGAGCACAAGATAAAATAAGGGACTAGGGTAAAATGACGTACCGGTATACAAGACAAGACATGAGCACTAAATGCCGAGCCACTAGTAACCACAAGTTATTGGGTGTGTTTGGCTATTACAAAGGCCAGATGCAGTATTGCCAGAAGAAATATTTAAAAAAAAAAACAACTTTACCTATAATTTTATTTATATCTATTGCACCCTTATTAACATCAAGATTTCCATTTTACCCTCTTTGGTGTAATATACCTCACTTCACTGATGCCTATTTTAGATCCTTAACAGCTCTACACCTATTCCAAATTTTCCTTCTTTTTTTTTTTTATCAATGGAATGCCTTATTTTTATTTATGCAACATGCCTTCTAAAGAAAAAATATTATATTGTTTTTCATCATCAGACTTGTATCAAATAACCATGGCATATGCCTACTGGAAAAGTGAGAAGATGGACGATCTGTCTGTGTTTGACCTGTACTTCCGCAAGAACCCATTCCAGGGAGAGTTCACCATATTTGCTGGCCTTGAGGAATGTGTCAAGCTGATGCAGAGCTTCCACTTCTCAGAGAGTGGTGAGTTGGTCTTGGATTCTCCTGGCGTGCCGTTTCTTCTCATTTAGGCAAAAAAAACAAAAAAAGTAAAAATCGTGGCACATGAAAACCTGTTGCCAGATATGTAAACAAGAGTTGCCATATATGAAAAAATAAAATTGGTCTCTTTTCAATGAGCTGCAGTTTATTCTAAAACAAATTTCATACACAGGTCATTGGGATAGCGGTAGGTCATTTGGATAAGTGGTGCTTAAGGCTTTAAAGAGTGTGTGACATGGCCATTTCTGTGCAGAGGATCTCAAACAAGGAACTGGGCAAACCAAACACTATTGCCTTGTAAATTGAAACCAACAAAGTGTCTTGGGATATAAGAAAGAATGCAAGTTAACTGTAGTGCGTTCTTCTTCTTTGCCTGATTTGTTCCTAGTGCTGCATGGGCCATTCGCAAATTCCAACAATTTATCTCTTTTCTGAGATATCCCCCCCCCCTTCCCCCCAATTTTGTTCCAGCACATTCCACTTCTTACAGTACCTCTCACTTCCTCAATTGAGGTCCCTTGCCCATGTGTTTTAGGGCATTTTGAATGTCATATTTCACTGAAGCAGCTAGACGTACAATAAAAAAAAAGCTTGAAGCTGCATCTAGTCATTGATGTTCATGATGGAGTAGTTTATTTTGATTCAAGTTAAATATAGTAACTTTTGGGTATACAAGTGCCACCATCACACCACTACAATATTACCACCTAGTGATCCTCCTCTGGTATGTTTGGTGTTTGGATCCCTGATCTGTAAGAGCAACATGTGCCCTTAGTAAAGAAGCATCAGTTTTTTTACTTACAATGTTGACACTTCAGTAAAAAAAAAACTGAGTGGCATGCATGTTGTGTGTGTGTTGCTGGTTCTGGTCTTAACATAACACGTGTCCTATGCAGTGCTGTTGTCCCTATGGACATGTGACATGTTTCACATATGATCTACTTCTACTCAGTTACTGCCAACTGTGTCCACAGACATAGAATATCTCAAAACTGCGCTGCCGCCAAAGACCGACCCAGCATTCTACGACTACCTCGGTTCTCTGTCGGCCAAGGACATCACCCTGTCGGCAGTGCCTGAAGGGGAGGTGGTGTTCCCTAAAGTGCCCCTCATCACCATTACTGGACCCCTGGCCGTCGTGCAACTTTTGGAGACTCCATTGTTGAACCTTGTCAACTATGCCAGGTAGCACAGTTATTTCAGTTCTTGTACTAAAAAAATGATGTAAGATGTCTACACTGGGTCATATGCTCTAAAAACTTATTGAGATCATTACATTTTTTTCAAAAAAACTTAAAGTTATCAATTTAAAAAAAAAATTTGTTAAATTAATTATGATCTCAGAGGTGTCTTTGTTAAGCATCCCTTGACACTTGTTTTTCCTTCATCCTAAAATTAACTACTTAAAAAATTTTTTGTTTGTTTAAGTTTGCCTAAAATCAACATGGCAGACTCTTGGGATTTAATAGCCTTTCATGCGTTAAGGGGTGATTAGAGATTTGGTTGTGTGCGGTGGTGAGGAGTCAGATTACTGCTTTGGACAATGATAAGCAGCTTATCATTGGTTTCTTTAGCCAAGATGAAGTTTAATTGCTATAAATAAGGTTTCATATTGTTATATATAAGGTTTCATATTGCTATATATAAGATTTCATACAGCTATACTTAATGTTTCATATAGCTCATTCCTGGTTTATAGAGACTTACTTTCAAGTATTGCTTACAGCTGATATTGACAGTTTTTATTATTTCTGTCCAATTTGAACTGACGAAAAATAAATCTTGTGTCCAGCTTGGTAGCCACAAACGCAGCTCGTTTCAGAATGGCAGCTGGACCAGAGACGACGCTGTTGGAGTTTGGTTTGAGGAGGGCCCAGGGACCTGATGGGGGTCTGTCTGCTTCAAGATATTGTTACCTCGGGGGTGAGTCTCAATAGGCTGTCTTAATATGCTGTATTAATAGGCTTTCTTAAGAGGGTGTCTTAATAGATTTTCTTACAGGCTGTCTTATTAGTCTGTCTTACAGGCTGTCTTAGTAAGATGACTTAAAAGGCTGTCTTAATAAACTGTCTAAATAGGCTGACTTAATAAGCTGCCTTAAAGGATGTCTTAATAGGCTGACTTACAGGTAATTCTAAAACCATGCCAGTAGGAAATTGATAATTAAGTTACCATAATCTTTTTTAGTCTGATCCCATTTACTTATGACAACCAGTGGCATAAATCTCTTACTCCAAAGGTTTAATTAACTCAATTACAAATTATGTAAACCAGATGATGCTCTGCAAACTATTGCAGATAAATATCAGTTACATTTCAAATCCGTTTAAAAAAAATTAATTAATGAAATTAAATTAATTAAACACCTATGTAATCTGAGTTTTATTGCTCATCGGCTATCGTTAATTTTAGTGTATTTCTGTGTGGTCCAAAACAACTCATTTTCTTCCATTGTGACCTGGGCAAGCTAAAAGGCTGGACACTCCTGATCTTATCAGATACTCGTTTGAAATGAAGTTATTGTAACATCATTTATATCTATATGTTAAATATACATTTTTTATGGGACTGTAAATTGTTAACTCATCATGATAAACATTTAACATTTCCCCCCCCCCCCCCCCCCTCAGGTTTTGATGGCACAAGCAATGTTCTAGCGGGAAAAATGTTCGGTATTCCTGTAAGAGGGACTCACGCCCACGCCTTTGTCACGTCTTTCATCAACTTAGATGATGTCAAAACAAGGGTATGTCCTCAGCCAGTCTCATAGCGATGTGCAATGTAGTATTCTGCTAGATAGACTCAGTGCAATGTAGTATTATAATAAATAGACTCAGTGTAATGTAGTATTCTGTTAGACAGATTATCTCACAAATTTTAATTGATAACACAGACACTAAATGATGAGGGGTCAAACATACTGTAAGGTAAACTTCTAAATTTAGACTTGATCTTTGTGGCGTTATCTCTTAAATATCCTATGTACTGACCATTGTGTTATACCTTAAACTACCATAGTGTTATACCTTAAATAGCCATATTTATTTATCATAGCGTTATTGTTTAAAAATCCTGTAACATCACATTAACCGATGCTGTGTCTCTCCCACAGACTCTCAGATCTCGAGACGATTCAAGAGAAATAGATTTTGTTGATTGCTGTTTGAAATACCAGAAAGAGCTGCCCGCAGTTTTAGGTGAGCAAGGTCCCCACACAGTCGGGAAAACGGGAAATAGTCGGGAATTTATCGAATAAATTTCCCGGTCGCAAAAACCGGGAATTTGAGCATTCTAGTAAGGAATTTTTCAGGATAGTCAGGAATTTTTATTTCATAATTTAAAAAAAAAAAATACTCGAATCGTTTCAATTATGACTTCATTATCATTTATCGACTGCATTTTACTGTAGTATTAGTTTCGACTTTTCTGCGCATGCGTTGAAATCGTTCTTCCGATGCCGACGCCATTTAAATTCTGAGAGAAAAACGACTTTGCGCCACTTGAGTCTCAATCATTTGATCTCTCTAATACTCTGTGCTCGGCTCTTACTAATCAATAACTTTCAAACTTTGAATTTTTGGAGACACTTGAACAGTTTTGTGGTGAGTATTCATTTATGTCAATTATTTATATAGTTTTTATCGGCATATCTGGTTTTTAATTTAAGAGTCATAGTCATAGTACTAGACATTAGTTAAAGTAGTATTACAGTATTTGAATTTGTAATAGTATAGTATTAATATTAATTAGCCTTAGGGGATATTAGGGAATATTAAACTCTTCTGAAATGAATATTTGTTATCGGCAGATCTGGTTTTTAATTAATTTAATCTGGTATATAAATTTATTACAGTATTTCAGAAGTCCAGTACTATTAGTATTATTAGGGCTTAATATTGTATTGGATTAGGCAGGTATATTAAGTCGTCTGTAATTACTGTAATTGTAATTTTTATCCCTTTGCCTTTGGTTTTTACTTAAATAAAAATAGTATAACAATCTACTCCTTATTTAATTTAAGAAGTACCCTACAGTAAATAAATTTGTATTTGAGCTTAGTATAGTATTTTTAATAATTATTGTTCAAGTCTATGACCATGATTGTAATAACATTAATTAATAGTTTATAATGTTAAAATAACTTGTAAAATCTATTGTTTCAGATAATTATGCCTAACTGTACTTTCCAAGATAAGTGGTTGGAACAACTTGAATTCAAACCATGGCTTTCCCGGGAAAAGTTGGTGCACAATGCATATTGTAGGATTTGTTCTAGATCTATTGATATCCGATCAATGAGCAGGACAGCACTCATCTCCCACATGAAAGGGAAAAAACATGAAGATAAGCTTAAATTTAGCCAATTGTCTCCAATAACAGTGTTCACTAAAAATAAACCAGCTGTTGACATCCCATCAAATTCAGCTACACACTTTGCTGAAGTATCTACTCCAAAGTCACAGTCAACGTTGTCCAATTTTATTTAAAAAAAGAATACATTAAATGCAGAAATTTTATGTGCGTAAAAATGTGTTGATTCAAACTATTCATTTTCATCACAAGCGGACATTGTGCCACTATTCCAACGGATGTTTCCAAATTGTGAAATAGCGCAATCAATGAGCTTAGGGGAAACCAAAATAATGTACATGTCATGTTTTGGTATTGCTCCTTATTTGACTTCCTTGCTGGAAAGAACAACAAAGGATTCTCCATATGTCCTCCTGTTTGACGAATCCTTAAACAAGGACCTTAAAAAGAAACAACTTGACATTCACATCAGGATGTGGGATTACGATAAAGTCAAGACTCGCTATTACACATCAGATTTCATTGGCCACTCTTGTGCCTTTGATGTGTTGGACTCTTTCGAAGAGAAAGTTGTCAACAGCATCGGACTCAATAATATTGTTCAATTGTCTATGGATGGACCTAATGTTAATTGGGCCATATTTAAAAAAAATGCAAGAAAAAATAAGTATGAATTTCCAGCATCAGCTAATTGACATTGGCTCTTGTGGACTTCATACACTTCACAATAGTTTCAAGGCAGCTATTGATGCTACTCACTGGGGAGTATCCCAGATTTTGTCAGCGCTGCACACCCTTTTTAAGGACACTCCAGCTCGCAGAGAAGATTACGAAAAAACAACAGGACAGTCCATGTATTCTCTGAGCTTCTGCTCCCATCGTTGGGTCGAGAATGCAGCAGCATGCCAGCGGGCTTTGGATATTTTTCCCTTTATGTCTCAATATATCGCAAAAGTTGAAAAACGGGAACTGAAAAATCCATTGACCAAGTCGTATGAAATAGTTAAAGAGTGGATAAGTAAAGAGTGGATAAGTAAAGAGTGGATAAGTAACCCTCTTTCAAGGACAAGACTTGCTTTCATAATAAGCCTTGCAAGACCTATAGAGCTGTTTTTGACAATGTATCAAGGTGACCAGCCAATGTTGCCTTTCATGGCAAAGGATTTAGAGAAACTTTTGAGAGGTCTTATGTCTCGTTTCATAAAACAAAAAACACTTGAGGAAGCCAATACTATTGATAAATTACTAAAAGTTGAGAGCAAATCGGAAAAAGTATTGAAAGTTTATTCTGAAATTGACATTGGTTTTGTGGCAGAGGGGCTTCTCAAGGAAGCCAAAGTGAAGAAATTAATTAGCGACAAAGGAATTTTAGAATTTAAATTACAGTGCAGAGAGATCCTATCCACTCTAATAGCAAAACTAACAGCAAAGTCTCCACTGAAATATAATTTAGTGAGACACATGAGTTGTCTGGACCCAGAAGAAATGATCAACAAAGAAATTGATTCTAACCTGTCTAGTTTTAGACATGTCCTTAACATTTTAGTGTCTCTTAATAGAGCACAAATCAATGAATGTGATGAAATAATTTCTATATTTAGAGACTTCTTGGAATGTTACAGGCATTCCCAGGAAATAGCAGCCTTCAGTAAAGCTGAAGGAAGACTGGATTGTCTTTATTATTTATTGTTAAATGGTAAAGAAAAGTTTACCAAGCTGTGGCGGATTATCAATGTTTTATTGCTTCTGTCACATGGACAGGCAACTGTTGAGCGTGGTTTTTCAGTGAACAGGGAAACCACAATTATTATTTATTGTTAAATGGTAAAGAAAAGTTTACCAAGCTGTGGCGGATTATCAATGTTTTATTGCTTCTGTCACATGGACAGGCAACTGTTGAGCGTGGTTTTTCAGTGAACAGGGAAACCACACAAACAAACATTTCTCAGGTTTTAATAAGCAAACGAATCATAAAAGACCATCTAGAACATGTGGGAGGCCTTGCTATCATTGTTGTGACACAAGAACTCCAGACTGCCGCTCAACAAGGTAGAAAGATTTATGGGGATTATTTAGATAAGAAAAGAACAGAGGGAGAGAGGAGGCAAAAATGTTCAAAGAGAAAGTTGGCAGAGAATGACATAGATGGACTGAAGTTAAAAAAACAGAAGCTGGAAAAGGAGATTGAATTTTTGATCCAAGATGAAGACAAAACTTCAGAGAAAGCTGAGACTTTGAAAAGTTTTCCTCATCTTTCAAAAGCTAATGCTATCAGAGTCAAGGCAAAAGAAAAGAGGCAACAGCTGACTAATATAAATGTTGAGATTGAGGAAAAGATGAAGTTGTTAGGAAACCTTTAATAACATTTAGTAACATCCTTTACTTAATTTCAATTTATCATTCTCCATATAACATTGTTTACATATTGTTCATCATTTATTATTTGAAATAATGTAATTTCATTTTAGCATGTACATATCAATAGATGTTAAAATAATTATTACAGTATACATGCATTGAATTATGTAAATTGACTACGGTATATATTTTTTATGATATTAATATTATGGATGTATTCCTGTATATTATCAAGTCCAGGCATTGGAAAGTTAATGGTTAGTTAAAGTGTTATTTTATTATATTGTTTTGTAAAGTTTATTTTATTATAGATAGCATTAGATTTAAAACATGTACCAGGATTGTGTATGTAAATTTTTAAAGAAAAAGCTGGAAAATCGATCGCAATAATGTCGATAAAGCAGCATTTTATTTAGTCAGGAATTTTCTTTTTTCAGTTGGGAAAAAGTCAGGAATTTAGTTTTGAAAAAAATGTGGGAACCCTGGGTGAGTGAAGCAGCACAAAAAGTTGGCGTGTGCGTGCGCCACTGTTTAGGAAGTTTAAGCCGCAAAACCTTCTGCCGTGCTCTTAAAATGTCAGTATGTTATGATTTCTAATAAGGATTAGCTGCTTTATCCACCAGCGCCCCCAGCAGTCGACTGGTCGGTTATGGGCAGAAATGACCTGATGGGGAGTCAAGCTTGGGTCAGTTTATTTGCATGCGTCTGACCCCAGCTGCTGCATAGATCCAACTGAAATTATCATGACGGTATTGATTGTTGATTTCAGACTTCCTGCCCGATCAAGTGATGGAAGGAGAGCTTGCCGCTTTCATCTCCTATGCCATGGCATTTCCTGAGGGCTTCCTGGCTCTCATTGATACATACGATGTCATCAGGTGAGTTTGTGTGTGTGTGTGTATCTGTTGCCAATGTGAATTTCTTGGTGTGGTTTGGTATGGACGGACATCTTGTTTTGCATTGTTAGTATGTTGTCTCGGTATTCCCAAGAGATAAAACCAACTGTACTTCTGTACAAAAACAGTGATGGGTTTGAGAGTGCCACGAAATGCCAACAGAAGTACACGAAAAGGGATTGAAAAGGGTATGGACGGACATCTTGTTTTGCTTTGTTAGTATGTTATCTCGTTATTCCCAAGAAATAAAATCAACTGTACTGCTGTACAAAAACAGTGATGGGTTTGAGAGTGCCACAAAATTCCAACAGAAGTACACGAAAAGGGATTGAAAAGGGTATGGACGGACATCTTGTTTTGCTTTGTTAGTAATGTTGTCTTGTTATTCCCAAGAGATAAAATCAACTGTACTGCTGTACAAAAAACAATGCTGGGTTTGAGAGTGCCACGAAATGCCAACAGAAGCACACGAAAAGGGATTGATGGGGACTTCTATTTGTTTAGCGAAATAAATACAAATACATTTTTTGAGCTCAGAATCACAAAAATAAATCGTCCATGTCTCATTTGATAACAAACGAACTCAATATAATATTTATTCTAATCATTTAAATAAGTTAAAAACCAAACCCTAACGTGTTGTTCATGTTAATCTAGCGTTTAATTATATTTGAATGACATAATTTTGTTTTCTACTGAACAGTTGTTGTAAACTCTTTGTTTCAAGTAATGAAATGCTTCTTGATCCTGGGACTTTAGGAGTGGCTTGCCCAATTTTTGCACTGTGGCCATGGCACTGAATGACCTCGGCTATCAGTCTATAGGCATCCGGCTAGACAGTGGCGACCTGTCGTATCTTTCTAATGAAGTCCAAGCAAAGTTTATACGAGTTGCTGATCGGTATGTTTAAAAAAATAAGGTGCTGCTTTTTTTTTTGGCATGGAAGTCCTATTAGATTAGACAAGTCCCATTACATTATATAAGTCCTTTGAGATTATGATAAACATATTAAACAGTTGTCTGTGGATTCAGAGTGAAAGGGGGACCTAGCCCGCCCACCCCCCCTTTTTTTTGTGTGTGTGTTTTTTGGATACTAGTTATATCTCATCCCCGCTTCAGGAGAACATTTGGTAACGCTTCAACTTCATCCAGTAAGGTTACATGTTAAAGGTTTCAGTTTTGGCTAGTTACTCCATTTTGTAAGCCTTATTGTCATTAGTTCCTGTAAAGTTGCTTTGGCCAGATACTCCATTTTGTAAGCCTTATTGTCATTGGCTCCTGTCAAGTTGTAGGTGTGGTTGAGATGAAGATGCATAAATTGACCATCCCCTATTTATATTGTAAGTATCCTGGCCCCCAACATAAAGCAAATAGTGAGGACATCTTTATGTCCAATAACTTCAATGTTATCATTTATCTAATGTGACGAAGTTAAAAACGTTGAGAAAGCCGCAGGACTAAAAAATTCAAACTAAATTTAAAAAGATTTATACTTGTCATTTACTTGAAGGAACCATTCTGATTTTTGTTTACTTTGGCAAAGAGGAAAGACAAAGAGATCTTGCTCAGAAATTAAAGCGTTGCAATTTAGGGTTACCTTGAGACATTTCTAGTCCAAAATTTTGTTGTATTGTTGTATTGGTGGAGATTAATGGATTCTCACTTAGTTAAAATTATTAAACTCCAGTGAATAATATAGATAAATAGTTCTCACCAAGATGAAATGAATGAACTCCAGTCAATTTTACATTTTTTAATTCCTTAGTATGGATGTAGTCGGATATATAGGTGGATGTGCATAAATATCTAAAAATTTTCTATGACAAAATAATGTCTTATGGGTAAAACATTTCTTTGTTTATCTGATGACAGGTATAACCTCCCCTGGTTCAAAAAGTTAACAATTGTGGCCAGCAATGACATCAATGAGGATACTATACACTCTCTAAACCAGCAGGTACATTGACACACATCAATTAGGACACTAAACAAACTCTAAACCAGGACAACAGATACATACACAGACATCAATGAGGACACTATACACTCTCTAAACCAGGACAGCAGGTAGATTGACACACATCAATGAGGACACTATACACTCTCTAAACCAGGACAGCAGGTAGATTGACACACATCAATGTTAGGACACTATACAATCTCTAAACCAGGACAACAGGTACATACTCAGACATCAATGAAGCTAAGATTTTTAAAAAATTTATTATCACTGACAGGGTCATAATATAAAATATTATTTTTTAGTCATCATTGACAAGGTCACTATAAACTTGTTTTTAATTGTCACGGACAGTGTCACAGTATAAACTGTTTAAAAACGAATAAACTAATACATTTCTTTCTCATCCCTGCCAGGGTCACAGTATAAATTGTTACGGCATCGGCACGCACCTGGTCACCTGCCAGAAACAACCTGCCCTCGGCTGTGTATTTAAAGTGAGGCTCTCAATAAAGTTGTTTGTGCCACCAACATCTGAGCATTAGGATTTGAACCATTGTCTAATAGAAATTGTAGTCATTTGTCTTACTGACTCAACCAAAAAACATGATTCTCAATCCACTAAGTCCATAAAAATATTGAGTAAAGTTAACAAATGGACTAGCTAAAGTTCTATGGGAATCGCTTTATAAATGAACAGGAATCTACCCCATCCCTATGGCGCTACAGCGCACGTAGGTCTTTGGCCTGCCTCACCATTTCCTTCCACTCAGACCTAACTAATGCTTTTCTTATTCATGCTTCAATTCCTAGCTCCTGTAGATCTTGTTCCCCAACATTCATCCATCACACCATCCATCTAAGCCCATGTCTGCCTTGAGTCGTTTTCATCTGGAGTTTTGGTGGTGCACCCTCTTCACTCCTCTGTCATTTGACATTCACTCCTCTGTCATTTGACATTCACTCCTCTGTCATTTGACATTCACTCCTCTGTCATTTGACATTCTTGCTAAGTGTTCCCCAAGCTTACCTTGCCCTTTTGTTTATTTCTGCTGCTAGTGTAGGATCCTGATATAGACTGTACTTTTCCTGGTTGGTTCGTATTCTCCATCCATATTCATCCTTTGCTGGTCCATATATTTTCCAGAGACCTTTTCTCTCATGTGTGTTTTCTTCTGTTTTTGTTAGGTTCCAAGTTTCTCTTTTGTAAATAACAACTGGTCTGATTACTGTGACCAAAAAAAAGTTTAAGAAATAGTTTCCATGACCTGTTGGTCACTTTACCATAACCCATTGGTCACTTTACCATAACCCATTGGTCACTTTACCATAACCCATTGGTCACTTTACCATAACCCATTGGTCACTTTACCATAACCCATTGGTCACTTTACCATAACCCATAGGTCACTAAACCATAACCCATTGGTCACTTTACCATAACCCATTGGTAACAATCTCTTTCTTTTTGTTCCCCAGCTTGTCCAGATCAACAATAAGCCAAGAATAAAACTTAGTGAAGATGTTGAAAAGGTCACAATTCCAGGGTTGAAGAAGGTCTACAGGCTGTTTGGCACAGATGGTAAGTGATGCTGGTGTGCAGGCAATAGTATAACAGAATGGGCCATGAATAAGTGGGAAATAATATGACAGACTGGGCCATAAATAAGTGGGAAATAATATGACAGAATTGGCCGTGAATAAGTTGGATATAATATGACAGAATTGGCCGTGAATAAGAAATAATATGACAGAATTGGCCTTGAATAAGTAGGAAATAAAATGACAGAAAGGGCCATGAATAAGTAGAAAATAATTTGATAAAATTGGCCTTGAATAAGTAGAAAATAATATGACAGAATTGGCTGTGAATAAGTAGGAAATAATATGACAGAATGGGCCATGATAAGTAGGAAATAATTTGACAGAATTGGCTGTGAATAAGTAGGAAATAATATGACAGAATGGGCTGTGAATAAGTAGGAAATAATATGACAGAATTTGCCGTGAATAAGTGGGAAATAATATGACAGAATGGGCCATGATAAGTAGGAAATAATTTGACAGAATTTGCCGTGAATAAGTGGGAAATAATATGACAGAATTGGCTGTGAATAAGTAGGAAATAATATGACAGAATGGGCCATGATAAATAGGAAATAATTTGACAGAATTGGCTGTGAATAAGTAGGAAATAATATGACAGAATTGGCTGTGAATAAGTAGGAAATAATATGACAGAATTGGCTGTGAATAAGTAGGAAATAATATGACATAATTGGCTGTGAATAAGTAGGAAATAATATGACAGAATGGGCCATAAATAAGTGGGAAATAACAAGACAGAATGGACAGTGATTAAGTTGGAAATAGTATGACAGAATGTGCCGTTAATAAATAGTCATTAGTGTGACAGAATGGGCTGTAAATAAATAGGCAATATTATGACAGGATGAATAAGTAGGAGCTCATTTCTCTAAGTAAAATTCCTGATAACTTGGCTAAATGAGATTCTTAAAAATACAAATACGTTTGGTGCTTAATATCTATGTTTGTTTTACGAAAATCTTCTCAATGTATATAGGGTGATATAAATGTGCTGTATATAGGGTGTTATAAATGTGCTGTATATAGGGTGTTATAAATGTGCTGTATATAGAGTGTTATAAATGTGCTGTATAGAGGGTGTTATAAATGTGCTGTATATAGAGTGTTATAAATGTGCTGTATAGAGGGTGTTATAAATGTGGGGTATATAGGGTGTTATAAATGTGCTGTATAGAGGGTGTTATAAATGTGGGGTATAAAGGGTGTTATAAATGTGGGGTATATAGGGTGTTATAAATGTGCTGCATATAGGTTGTTATAAATGTGCTGTATATAGGGTGTTATAAATGTGGGGTATTTATTTATTTATTTATTTAGGCATTTTTATATTGCGCTTACCTTAAAGCTCTAAGCGCTTTGCAATTATGAAAAACATGTAAACTAAGTAAAATAAAAATGAAAAACCAGAGACACTAGGATAGTAACTACTATACTATAGAAACAATTTAAATGGCTATAAAACGAGTACACATTGGCACGTTTTGGCCTATACTACAGGATCAACCCGAGACAGAAAATGAGGCAGGGCAAGGAGGGTGCATCACAGGTCATAGGCGGACCTAAACAGATATAAACGGTATAAAAGAGGGTCGGACATTAGAATATGAATATAATTCAGGGATTTGAAAAAAGTGTGTGTTTGCGAAGCTGGTGGGGGAGTACTCATTGGGATTTGTATAAAGTGTGTTACTTGTCTGTATGCTTTTATCAAGTAACTTGAGTAGACAGGAAGCTCATCTATTGCGGCTGCCACTGTTTGCCTGGCTGCATCTGGTAGAGATATATTTCTTTGAAACAAATTGCATAAACTTTTGATACGTTTGCTTTACAACAGGCAGGGCCCTGGTAGACTTGTTACAACATGCCTCAGAGACTGCACCAAAAACAGGACAGCGAGTTCTATGTAGGCATCCTATACAAGTAAGGTCTTAGTTGAAGTACTGGCTCATGTGACCATCACGTGTGTTTTATGTAGACATCCTACACAAGTAAGGTCCTGCTTGAAGTACTGGCTCATGATACCATCATGTGTGTTTTATGTAGACATCCTACACAAGTAAGGTCCTGCTTGAAGTACTGGCTCATGATACCATCATGTGTGTTTTATGTAGACATCCTACACAAGTAAGGTCTTAGTTGAAGTACTGGCTCATGATACCATCATGTGTGTTTTATGTAGACATCCCATACAAGTAAGGTCTTAGTTGAAGTACTGGCTCATGATACCATCATGTGTGCTTTATGTAGACATCCCATACAAGTAAGGTCTTAGTTGAAGTACTGGCTCATGATACCATCATGTGTGTTTTATGTAGACATCCCATACAAGTAAGGTCTTAGTTGAAGTACTGGCTCATGATACCATCATGTGTGCTTTATGTAGACATCCCATACAAGTAAGGTCTTAGTTGAAGTACTGGCTCATGATACCATCATGTGTGTTTTATGTAGACATCCTACACAAGTAAGGTCCTGCTTGAAGTACTGGCTCATGATACCATCATGTGTGTTTTATGTAGACATCCTACACAAGTAAGGTCTTAGTTGAAGTACTGGCTCATGTTACCATCATGCATTTTTTACATACCGGTAACAAATGATCTTGAAGTAAATAAACATACTGACTAAGGATCAATGTTTGCGGTATACCAAGGTGCCTGTGATCTATGCTTGCTGTCTTCTGCATCTAATCAGAAACAGTAAATCAATTTTAATTGTGTGTTATGCCTGTTGATAGGTCAACTGTTCACACATCTTATGTACTAAGATTTAGAAAGACAAAAACCGCTTTAAAAAAAAGCAATACTCTTGGAAATCTGATGAATTTATTTTCCACATTTTCTTGAGTAGATCTTGTGTGATGTAATAAGTTCTTGTGTGATGTGAGTAGATTGTGTGTTATGTCAGTAGAGTGTGTATGATGTGATTATATTGCTGTGTGATGTGAGTAGATCCTGTGTGATGTGAGTAGAGCTTGCTGTGTGACTAAAGTAGATCCTGTGTCATGTGAGTAGATCCTGTGTGATGTGAGTAGATCCTGTGTCATGTGAGTAGATCCTGTGTCATGTGAGTAGATCTTGCTGTGTGATGTGAGTAGATCTTGCTGTGTGATGTGAGTAGATCCTGTGTCATGTGAGTAGATCTTGCTGTGTGATGTGAGTAGATCCTGTGTGATGAAAGTTTTTTTGTTTAAATTTAAAATCACATCACAATGCTAACTTTTAAAATAATAATTTCATTGTGTGATCATTCATGTCACTGTCATGTATGTGTATCGATGCTGACAGTAGTGATGGCATAAATAAACTGTTTGTTGCTTTGTAAATGAAATCTTGTTTACATTGATTCGAAATATAATATGCACATTCTTCATTTGTATTTTGCCAAGCTCAGAGTGGTAACATTATTACAAGCCAGGGCATCATGTTATTATATGAATTAATGACTGTGTTATTTCCATCTCATTTCCAGGAATCCAAGAGAGCGTATGTGATACCAGCTTCTGTGAAGTGTCTGCATGAAATCTGGTGGGACAAGGGCAAGGTCTTTAGATTTTTTAGCAAAATTTATTAGTCATGCTGAAAGGGGCATTTAAACGAGCTTAAAGTCGACCAAGTTATTTTTAAAACTCTGCCGAGTGAACACCATCAGCGTGGTGTGGAAGATCAGAGTGGCGCGGAAGATCAGAGGGGCGTGGCAACAGATGGGTCAATCAAGGGATGGGGAAATATAAAGGTTTGTTTAGAATGTCGATTTCAGGGGCTGTGCGGTAGAAAAACATGAATGGAGATACATAATTTAGGCCGTGCCTCCCTGATGTTAGTGGCAGGGGGGCTGTCTCTTTTGCCCGGACCCTTCAGTCGCACCCCTTTGCACCATCCTGGTCAATGCAAGCACAGTAAGAATGGTGAAACAATTGACGAAAAAAAAGGAGACAGATAACAAAATTGAAGAGCTTAAGGGCTGGACTTGATGGCCTGAGGTTCCAAAAGGCTTTTCTGGACCAGAGTATATTAAAAAGAAAGATATAAGCTGGACCATTTGTAGGAAGGAATAAAACTCCAAGTAGTGCAGTCAAAGAGACAGATGATCAGTGAGAAATGATACAGATAAGATGATGAATAACTAGACCTATGTACTGTCTTTAGTTGTAAAATAAGATGATAAATAACTAGACCCATGTACTGTCTTTAGTTGTTAGATAAGACAATGAATAACTAGACACATGTACTGTCTTTAGTTGTTAGATAAGACAATGAATAACTAGACACATGTACTGTCTTTAGTTGTTAGATAAGACAATGAATAACTTGACCCATGTAATTTATAATTTCTTAATTGTAATTAAGACAATTATTTCTGTAGAAAAATTTGAAAGCATAATTTCATTGACATGTGGACCAACCATGGAATCATTTCAAATGCATTCATTTCATATTTTTTTGAAGTTATTAAGGACACTCTTTATTGCCTGGTGTTTTTTTTTAAAGGATTGAAGTTAGTTTCCATGTTGCCTTCTTAAACCTCTTACCCCACTCCCTTGTTTTCTCTCTTAATATCAGGTAGTCAATGAGTTACCCAGTCTAACCGAGCTGAGAGAAAAGACCAAAGAATCTCTTAAAACTATCAGGCAGGATCACAAGCGGGCCTTGAACCCCACGCCTTACAAGGTAGGTCATCTCGACCTGGCTTAAATCCTATGTTTCTTAAAGCCTGTCTCACTGAACCCTATGCCTTACAAGGTATGTCAGCTTGACCTGGTTTAAGTCCTATATTTCTTAAAACCTGTCTCACATGATGAAAACCCCCAACTGCCATTAGCGTAGTGCTGGTGAATCTTTTGGTCCCTCATATTCAAAGAATGATTTGGTAAGAGCTCTGCAACCTTTATTCCGCACAAAATGTCTCCAAGAGATGGCAAAGCACAGAGAGTAAGTAGGCACTAATATGATACAACTGTTTTGACACACATGGGACTTTTGTTAGCCTATTACTAATATGTTAAACACCATGGCAACAGAAATTTGACCAATACGGACAGTCAATATAGAAAAATACAGTGTAATCTGCTACCTTTTAGCATTCACACCTTATGAAAGTTAACTGATTTTGTACACTAACACACCAGTGTGAGTTAGAAAGAAATACAAGTTAATTCAGATTTTCGGTACAATATCACCACATGGTCTTATTCAAATTCTTTCTTACCAGTGATCCTCTATTTTCATTTATTTCTTTTCTTAATTTTTATATTTTACATTTTGATTATTTCCTGTTAAAATTTGATTTTTTTCATTAATAATACATATATTCTTTTACTTCCTGTAATCTTTGTTTTGAAAAACCCTACTTCCTGCAATAACATTAGTGGCGACCACTTAAGTTTTAAAAAACTATTTCTTTTTCTTGTTGTTTCTTAATTTGTCCTGTCTGCTGAGAAAGGCGCTTAGCCGAAACGTTCTTCTTTTATTGTTTCATTAGACACGAACAATTTGTGCCAACATAACAATAGAAGTTAAGCTTTAATAATAATTTTACACAATAATTATACACAAGTATACGTTTCGGCACATGAAACGTAATCAATACAACAAAAAAAACAATTAAATAAGTATAAATTAAATTTATATAATATATAAATATACATATATCCTACCTAAAAAAAGGGGGAGAAAAAATAGAAGTGGGCGAAAAAAAACCAGACAGAAACAAAGTAAAGAAGAATGGAAAGGAAGTGACTTAGAGTAAAATGTAAAAAACCAAACGGGAAAAAGACATGGCAGTTACGTAAAATTGTGGATTTTAAATCTATTTTAAAGCTTTATCGCAGTCCAACACTTTTTATAATCAGTTAATTACTTTTATTGTCCTGCCTTTCGACTTGAAGCTTCCACATTAATTGTTCTTCTATTTCTTTCACACAGCTTGAATTTATTATTAAGTTATTTAGTATAAAAGTTCAAATAATTTCACACATGCACTCTGCAGTAATACTAGTTTAAAAATATTTTTAATTGTATGTGTTAAAGCCTTGGTTGTTCTTCCTGTTAAAACAAACAGAGGCGTTTGCTCTGACTTAGATGACTCAACCCAGACTTCAATGTATAACAAATCTTTTAACCCCAGTTCGGGTGACATCATGGACCACCAAATATACCTGGTTGCCACAACTGACATCGGCCTGGAGTGGGAAATATAAATCAAACAATCGAAGCAGACTTAAGTTTTTGTTTTCATAGTTTCAGTTCCTAGCGTCTTTTCCCCTTTCTATATTTGAAAATAAACTTAGTTACCAGTAATATAGTAAGGAAATGGCTTTCACAGTTTTATTATTTGATCCACAGGTGTCTGTGACCTCTGACCTGTATACCTTCATTCACGAGCTTTGGCTCGAGAGCGCACCAATTGGGGAACTTTCTTAAAACAGGGAAGCGTACATATATTGAGTTCCATGAACTTTCCTCGAAAAAGAGAAACTCCTATTTTCTTCAATGCACCCATTAAAACTGTTATTTATTTTGTACTGCTACCAACTGTTGGTAATCTCATGTCAATTTAAAACTGCTGAAATGGAGATGAAGTCTCAGTATTAGCACTGTAGTACGTATTTGATACACTAAGTCGGTTTAGAGATCATTTTTATCAATATTTGTCAATTTTCTCATGTCTGTACATACACATGTTTAGAAACTGGTGGTCAAGACATGTCAGGATTTATTTGATGTATTGCCGGCTAATGGGGGCTGCGTGTCGTATCATCATAATCATTTAGTTGTGGATAATTAATTTTCACCTCTTTAATTTTATTCTTCGTCACCTTCATTTATCTATTCAGATTTTCTTCGTGGTCATTTCTTTCTTTCATTAAAGTAGTTATTTGTTTAGTGATAACAACAAGAGAAACATGAATTTTTTGTCTACAAATGTAATCTTGGGTCCATTCCATTATTCAAACTATTCTAAGTAGAAGCCTTTTAAGAGGCTAATAAATTTTTTTTTTATGTATACTTGTTTCTGTCTGTCAGCTATAACAATAAGTAACAGCCGTTGACCAAAAGTTTGCCAGTTGCTGTTCATACATGACACCAATAATCAATGCACCGCTGGTCAAGATCGTGTTGAACTATAGATGCCACAACACTCGTCTAAGCCATTCATATTTTTAATCATTTCGAAATAGCACCTAGTCAGAAAGCATTCATCACGAGTGACAGTAGTAGTGTCAGTAATATATATTTTAGCATGACTGAGGATACGCTTTTGTATTCCCAGATAACCTATTTGTACGCAACAAACTTCAAAGATGCACAGCTGTGCAGTGAACATAGCCTACATCTTTTCTGTTTTCTGCTTGGTTTTAAGGTAATTTGTTTGAAGTCATGGTCACATCATGGGGCAACATCTTATTTTAAGTAAAGTGACTTGGAATCAATCACAAGAGACACAAAAAGTTGATTTAAAATTTGTAATTTATTATTTAACAAAAAAAACAAACAAATTTTATAATTTAAACAAAAAATGTAAGAAACAAAGGGAACAAACTTTAAATTATTTGTTTGTCAAGACTTTTTTATAAGGTGGTATTATTTGGAAATCCTCTTCTAAACTGGGCAAACTAATGAACTTACTGGAAAAAAACATTTTAATCACACAATTTATTATTATCAAAACTGTGGCATGTATCGGTCATACTTTAAATTATTTAATTAGATTATATATTTCCTGGGAGTTATTATAAAAAAATAATCAAACCCTGTAACTGGGGAATGAAACAGTTGAATAGCAAGGTACCTAAGTAACGCTTTGAATAAAACTTTGCAAAGATTTGTCTTTTCTTTGAAATTGTGATCGACCTTCAAAATTTCAATAATTTAAAAAATTTTAAGCTTTTTACATAATTCAGCTAATGATTTTGAAAGGGAATTTTTAATAGTATGCCCAAACTTAAGCTTTCTAAGACATTTTTTTGGAAGTAAGTTTAAAAAAAATTGTTATACATTAAAAAACTTGATTACTTAGAATAAAAAGCTTTTTAAAAAAAAAAAAACCATTGGGAATCCAACTTTACACCTATGAGATTGTTTTATGATTTTGTGTGGGGGGGGGGGGGGTTGTGGGTGCAAAATCCACTATCAGTGCTGATTAAATGGACACATGTTTTGTGGCCGAATGCCATTCTGGCAGGTTCTCTTTCACTAAGCTGACTTTTCCCCCCCACCTATACATAAGAAGAGCCGATTGAATAATAAAAAAAGAAAATTGTGTCCTTTCCTTTTCTAATGCATTTTCATCCCCTATGTGAGTTACTATTAAATTGTAACATGATATTTCACCGGGAGGGCTGCCCAAAATTAGTCACAAAAAAATGTTAGAATAACTCAAATATTTTATATTTCATGACGCTGTAACTGCATTTATTTTATTTTATTGATAGGAATGATTTCATTGACATTACTTGTCTCTTTTGGGTCAAAGGTCAAGGGGTAATTTGTTTATGAACTGCGTCAAACATGTTCATGTAATATTGTCAACAGACTGTTGGGGAGGGGGATGTTTCCTCTGATCTATTCTAAGACATCAATTTTTGGTCACACCTGGAATTCAGGTGTAATAAATAGGCGATATGAGTTAATTTTAAGGAGAACTAGAAACGTGATTGTATTATAAAACAAAGTGGACAATCAGAAATATATGTTATTTAGAGTTTAAAAAAACCAAAGAAGAAGAAACCTGTAATAAATGAACATACATTTTGTTGAACAAACTTCATTGATAAAATCTGCCATGTTATTTGTAAAAACATTGTGATACCATTTTCATTTCTCAGTACCACTGGCGTGATAAGGGAAGAGGAAATATGTATATAAATAATAAGCGTAATAAAACAAAGGTGCCAAGAATACACTTTACCTTTTTGTTTCCACAAAAGCCAGTAATTTAGTGTTAAAATTTGTTGTCAGTTAAGTATTTTTGTTGAGGCTCTAAGGCTTTGTTAACTTTCATTGTTAGATATTTAAAGTAACATTAAATTAAGATGCAATTAACGGACTGTATTGTTAATTTTACGGATTACTAGAAACATCATGAGTGTATGATAAAACAAAGTAGAAACATCATGTTTGAATGATAAAACAAAGTGGAAACATCATGATTATATGATAAAACAAAGTGGAAACATGATTATTGAATGATCAAAACAAATTAGAAACATGTTTGAATGATAAAAGAAAGTGGCCAGTCAGATTAATGACTTTTATTGTTATTCATTTAAAGTTACATTAAATTAATCTATAATTCTGATGTTATCATAAGTTATAGACCTAACTGATGTTACCATATCATAAGTTATAGACATAACTGATGTTATCATAAGTTATAGACATCACTGATGTTATCATAAGTTATAGACATAACTGATGTTACGGTATCATAAGTTATAGACATTTAAAAGTAAACACGTTATTTAGAGTTGTTCATTTTTCATTTTTTTTGTTCTGTCTCCCAGCTGATATCCAGTCATGATCTTATGTAACAAGTGATATTTACAGGGCAAGTTTGGAGTGCATATAACTCTAAAGATGTGGCCAAGCAGGCTGCTGCATAAATTAACCTTTTTTGCAGCTATGTATCCCCACAATACATTCCCCACACCTCAATCTCGATTTCAGAGCATATTTCCCCGCACCTCCACATTAAAAAAAAGCAAATAAACCTGATTTTTCTGGATCTTCCAGAGCCACCTGACATTGCCTACCCCGCCCAAGGAGGTTTGGGCACCCCTGGTTTAGAACCTCTAAACTACACTAACTTTTCATCTGGAGTTTTTAACAATGCATTGCACCTCAAGCCACTGCCTTGCATACTAATGTGTTTTGGCATTACACGCCAGTCAAGTGTTTCATTTTACGCTTTGTAAAGATACTGTAATGTGTTCATGCATGACAATCTGTTCAACTTGAATAGATATATTTTTTTTCTTGTTTTAACTCATTTTTGATGGACGAGAGGACAGCTCTTATTTTTTTTAAAGTCAATTTTTAAAAAATCTTTATACACTCTTTTAACGAATATTAGATGTCAATTTTCATTACCGTAAGTGTATTTTTTAAAAGCCTTGCTTCCATTTTTCAGCTTCATGCAGTTGTAAAAAATGTGTCATCCTGTAGCTTTTACAGTCATGAAAAAGAAAAGCAACACACAAAAAAAAAATACAGATATATGCACAAATAATAATAATAATTATTGTTATATATATTAATAATATATTTTAATATACTTATTTATTTGGTATTTTATACTTGATGCACTCCATGCAATTTGATGTTGTCTTATGGAAGTTATGTATTATCATACCGGTAGCCATAAAATTATTTACAAAGCATAATCAAATATTTCACAATTGATGGTAGTTGTTATTACGTGTTTTTTTTTAATATGTAAAGTTGTTATGCTACTGCTGGAGTTGCATTTATTTTAACTTATAGCACAAAGAAATCTTGAAAGAGCATACATTATAAATCATTAGTCCAGTTTTTTATAATAAAATTAAAGAACAGTATTTGATGAATGGATATTTCAATGGCACTTTTATTTAAAAGAATTATCTCAGTTTGGTAAAATTCAAAATGTCAAATATCAATGTAGTGTACACATATTTAAAATAAATGGATGTGGATATAATTTAAGATGAGATTTTTAAATTTTAATTTCGTATCCTTAATTTGATGAAGTTCTCAACAATTTTTATCAATAGCTCTTTTACTATTGTATTTATGGTTACCCAATTTTTAAACATTAAAAATATGCTCTTGTAATATTATGAAATTAGTGTAAAACAATTTATAATGCATTTTCTACAATTTCCACCTGAATTCTAATTTTTTTAAAAATGAAAGCAAACTTCTTTTGTTTTTTCTTTGGTTTTTTTTGTTGCTTAAGGCTTACAGTTACATTAAGTTCATTTCAGATGATGAAGTGTAAATTTATTTAATACTTGAAGAAGAATTTCTATCATATGAAGGAAAATATGACATGAACATTTTTAATTTTTTAAAATATTTCACCAAGTGTTTTCAAACTGTATTAAAAGATGGCTAAATTGAAGATCCTAGTGCTCAAAGTACTTAAGGCACATTTGCGTCAAAATCAATCGAAACTGTAAACTTTTCTTATCCAATTTAGCCAAGTGCACTGCAGAAATTTGAAGACATTAAAATTTGCCGAGGTCCCTTATTTAGCCAAGGCAAAATATTAAAATGATCACATTTGATAGACGAAAAGAATATTAGAACTTGATTATCTCAAAATGTGTATTTTGTGTCTTAAATACTTTTAGCACGAAGGTCTTCACTTAAAGGACTTGTCTGTAGCCAGCTGAAAAAAAGCTGCTCCACATTTCAGCTTTCCCTTAATTAAACGGTGAAGTGATTTTTTGTTCATTAACTCCCATCCATTTAATGTGTCTTCCTAGCTCAGCGTTCCCCAAAAGGTGGTCCGCAGACCGGCTTCAGTCTGCCAGCCCTATGCAGCTACGCACATCATGAATGTTTATGGTCCAATAAAAAGAAAATATAATTAATAAATCTTGCACCAGTCCCTGGTGAAATTTTGAAACTTGTCCATTGTTTCACCCAACTTAAAAGTTGCTCTAGATTTCACTGAGATTCGTTATTATCCTTAAAATAACATACCATACTACTTCTATTATGTACACAGTTATGTATACTTCTAATTTAAATCTATATTCAAGGGACATGCCGGTCAGAGTCAAATGTTATTTACAAGTGTACACATATTTCATGAGAAGATCTGCTTCAAATTAAGTTCAATGCAATATTTTTTGTTAAAATGATATTATTAAAAATATTTATTAGACTCATGGACTTTTTTTTAATTAGCCAACTAAAAATTTTCCAAATACTTTTTTTTTCCTTTGGCATCCCGACGCTAGCAGAGGCAAGTTTTCAGATGCACTTAACGATTTTATTGGACCCCGTGGACTGTCTCATGCTTATTACAAGGGAATGGGGTTGTGATTCTGCCATCTTTTGCCAAAGATCTTATGGTCACCACACATTTTTAATACGGCTCTCATCTTCCACAGAAAGCTAGGTTTCTTTTGTTGGAAAAATCTCAACATTTTTTAAAAGAAAAATTGTTTCATTTTATTGCAGCCAAAACGCAGTTAAGCTTTTTGGTTTATTTATTAACCTGTGCTAATTTTAGAGTTAGTTGTCTGTTGGATGAAGCAGTTTTAGCTTTTTTTTGGAGAATAATGTATTTTATTTACAAGGGAATTTTAAAAAAAAAAAAAAAGAAGATGAATAACATTTGTTATGAGCTCATTAATCACTATTAATGTTAAAAATTAGTGTTTCCTTAATTTAGATGTTTTAGTAAGTGAAGTTCAACAATTGTTGTTTTTGTGCTAAACATAGTAACTTTTAATTGAGTCATTTATTAGCTAGAAGTCTTAGTTATAAAGATGCCCCTAAATCAGAATCAGTTGATAAAATGTCATGTTCCAGTAGTTGGCATGATGAAAGGACAGTGATTTGTTTCAGTGGCTGAGTCAGGGGATTTAACTCCCTGGTGATCAAGGGTCAAGGTGCGGGGTTTGCCTGTGAGCACTTGCATAATGAAGAATGTAATAAAAATGAATAGTTTTTGCTATGAGATTGATTGAGTTTGTGCATTGTTTAAAAATTTTTTTTTTTACTTGTTTAGTTTCAACTCTTCAGAGTGTATCAAGCTGGTTTAACTGGCAATCCATAAATGATGATAATCAACTTTGGCAGATTTTTTTTACCACCACCCCCTTTCCCCTCCCCTACACCTGTGATGTCATTTATGAATGGTCCCTAAAACAATATCAACTCTTCCATTAAATTATCACTCAGTAATTTTAAGAATGTAGTGTAGACACGATGTAGTGTAGACACGATGTAGTGTAGACACGATGTAGTTTAGACACGATGTAGTGTAGACACGATGTAGTGTAGACACGATGTAGTGTAGACACGATGTAAAAACACAACAAAAACAACATTCAAGCCCTTCAGATTTTTCGGGGGGGGGGGG